ATGTTTTTATAATATCTGAAGGTTTTTGCATCCTTTATTCTACCCCAAAGGAAAATGGACTGTTAAAGAAAGATGAAAGGGGGTATAGGCTAAAACCTAAACACTTTAGGAGTTGATTTGACCCAAGTAGTATTTTGCTGACAATGAACTAAAGGTTACAAGCTCTAATGCAAAAATCTAAGAAAATTTTGACAATTATTTCTTTAAAACTTTTAAACAAGTGTTTTATAGTTAAAAAATGTACATGTTTAGGGCTACAATAAAGCACGGCTTTCATAGAGGTAATTATATACGTTTAGTTAATTTCTAAAATAATGAACAATATATAATAAAGAAATAAATTTAATAAAAGTGAATATTGAAGGGAGAATGGAATAAAAAGAAATGGAGGAAAGCGCTGTAAAATCTGTGAAATAATAGAAAAGTTAAACTATTTTAAAATGATCAAAGGATTCAAGAGGATAACTATAGTTAACTAAACTACTCGAAAATTAGAGAATGTAAAAGTTAAATAAGAGGCAGAACAATGTTAAGTACAGAATTCGAATTTTCCTTTCCCCGCGTGGTTTTCGATTATATCAATACAATGAAGACGACTTTTTTATTTCAGTTTTGATTGTAACAAGCTTTTTTTTAATCACAAGTTTTTCAAGTAAATAAAGAGAAGCATTTTTAATTGACAGCTTCTCTTGACTTCTATTTTATGTGTATCCATGTTGTTAATTGTTAAATCACAATTGAAATCTAAAGTTCTGTTCAGCCCATTCTGTGCTCCCTTGATGCTTACACATAGTACCAGACCAAAAGAATTATTGTCGGATACTTAATAACAGCTAACCAGGCTTGTTATTAAGGAGTATATTTAAAGCTGTCAGTAGCAAAATCTGGATCCAGCTTGGTAAAAAAAACTCCATTCTCCAGGTTAACACAGCGTTAAAAGATTAATGAAGGCCTTCAATAATTCTTGTAGTTCCGTTAATTCCTTTTCCATTAAAGGTTTTCTAGTTTGCCATTTTCTCTCTCTCATCCTGTATCTCTGAGTACTCCTAGAAGCGCCGAGCCGGAGCCAGTTGTTGCTCCTCTGAAAGCTAGATGTATACTGGAAAAAATGTAAAAATATTAATAGAATTTTGAACTTATGTTCAGAATTAGGAATAAATTTTCTTAATATTATTTATTTTAAATATAAATTAGGAGTGATATAATTAAAGGGATTGTGAATGTAATTTCAATCGACTCTCCATTTAAATAGTAGAATTGCAACTTTGCCCTTTAAACCTTTTTATATAAATAACGATGAGAACGATAACATGGTTTAGAAAAGTGTTAAAGTCTGAAAACTTCCTTCATTGTCTTTGCTTCATACATCCGAAAGTCACATTTACAGTGAACCCACATTTGAAAAATAATGTATTCTTAATATTAATCAGACAAAGGTAAAATAAGGTACCGTTGTTAATCCTACACACCACTTTATAAAAGGAATGTCACTTCATATAACGTCTAAACAGTCCCTAAGCACACAATTTAGGAGAGATTGGTGAATAAATATATATGAATATTGAGCAGATATAATATATATGATATATAATAAATTTTAAATAAAAATATAAAACAGCTAATCACCATGCAGTACGCCAATTCTTTAAAAGATTCCTGTGTACGTTTTTTTGGAAAAAACTAACATTGTGTACTGCAAACCAACAGTTTTAAACTAGAATAAAAGTTTGGGGTTTTTCATACAAAAATTTACTTGCGTGGTATTCACTGTGAACTAGACAACAGTGGAAGGTCAAATACACGCGACATTACTGTGAAAATTTTGTGATCTCGTAGCTTGATTGCACGGTATGAGAAAACAAAATTTAATTGATTATACAAAACATTTTTGTTCTTTTCAAGTGATCTGAAAAAAATAGGAATCATGCTTTTTTGCATATATGGTTTTAATCTAACGTGCACTTTACTTTAGTTTGACGTGTTTGACGTGTATTTTTTTAAGTTTTAAGGGCGTTGTAGTTTTAAAGGGACAGACTGGCTATGTAAGGTAGTTGAACTGAGTATGCAGTGTTTTGGACAAATTCTTTAGGATTCATTTAGGTCTGTCCCTTTAAGGGCGAATTTTTTAGTCCCCCCTACCTTTTCTCTTCCCTTTTTTCCCAAGTCAAATATCAACAAAACGTAAGAATTTAATTTTATAACAACAATAACAAAGAGGTTACTTGGAGTTAATGTAAGTATAGAGAAATCTATTCACAAATAAAACTCAAATTTGAAATAATTGAACATTTTATAAAATTGAAATAATAATAGAATTCATTTTATTTCATAACTTTTAATGTTTTTTGTTTTTCTTTTCTTTTATTTAGCGTAGTGTAATAAAACAAAATGGATTTTAAATGGTGTATTCTAAATATTATTTTTCTTACATTATGCCAAATGTTAGCCCTGGCAGAGGTTATCTGGAAAAAACGACCCAATAACGACCCAAAAACTACCCAATAACGACCTAAGAACGACCCAAGAACGACCCAAAAACGACCCAATAACGACCCAATAACGACCCAGAAAAAAGCGTGTCGTGACGATTTTTCCGTACTTTTTATTTTTTAGATCAGAGATATTGGTATGTTTAATAAAATCAAAGTTTAGCATAATACAGTTTTGAAATATTTGAAGTGTTATTATTTCTTTTTCTAAAAACTTTTCAAACCGATTAACAACATTATTCATAACAGAGTTCAATATCTGACAAATTTTAGTTTTCCATTATATTATAAAATTATGATACATATATTATAACGTATATAAATATATTAAATAAATTTACACATATCATTGTTTATTTGTAAAACGGAGTTTACAATTTGTTTAAAAGAAAAGAAATGACAATAATATTGAAAATTAAATTTTTTTTTGCAAGATTTAAAGGGTATATCGTAAAGTCATACATAAGCAGGAATTTTCATGCATAAATAAATAAAAAGTTTAAATCATGATTTCAAATCATTCAAACTTTATAAATCTTTCAAGTTCTTAAAGTTAAGAAATGGAATAGAGCTAAACTACCATTTATAGTTCTTTTCTTATTCTACCAAATTTGTCCCGCCCCCCCCCCTCCCCCTTCTCTTGTTGGAATATGAAGATTTTTTCAGTCCAACATTATTTGTCAGGTTTTTTTAATTCTCTCTGTAGATTTTATCCGAGCTGAGCTGAAAACTTTTAATGAGATATCCTTAATCCCGATTACTTAATCTGAGTATCCAATGGACACACTTTTGATTTTCTTCTTAAACCGTTCTTTCTTGGATATAGTAGAGAAAAATCAAAAACCGGTTTTTTGAAAAAGAGAGTCCCTCACGTTTTTGTATAATAATGTCAAAGGAGTTGAGTTTTTGCCGAAAACTCTGATTTTCTAATCTCTATATCTTTGAAACCCAACGTCGTAGACCTTAGATATTTCAAACTATTAATACTTATAGATAAAATAAATTAAGTTTGAAATATCGAAGGTTTGCACCATCTGGTTGCAAAATATTGGGATCAGAAGATGTGAGTTTGTGGCAAAAACCCAATTCCTTTATCGGCTTCATATACGCGACTCTGATTCAGGATACAAGTACAAGATTAGGTTAGTCTCGATATTAAGAAAAAAAGAGGATCAAGCATTAATCTCGATATCCACCATTCAAAAGTTTTCAGCTCTGAATGCAGAAAACTTTAGAGTTGGATACTTTTAATCCCAATCGCATAATCTGAATTTTCAGTGTAAACACTTTTAGCTTCCCGCTTAATCCGCTCCTTTTCTCTCCTGCCAGTTTTCAACCAATGAGAGTTTACTCATTAAATGGCGCGCAAAATTTCAAATTTCCCAGCTTCTCTGATTGGCTGGTCCAGTTTCTCCAATCGCCACTCAATTTGTTGAGTTATATATATACACTTTTGTGGATACAAACTTAAGATTAAATTAATCTTGAGATTAACAAAAAAAGAAGCTCAAGCATGCATTGATCTCGATATCCACAATTCTAAAATGTTCAGTTCTGTTCACTTACAGTGTACACCAAACAATTCACCGTACAGTGTACACTATACAATTCACCGTACAGTGTACACTATACAATTCACTGTACTGTGTACACTATACATTTCACTGTGCAGTGTACACTATTCAATTCATTGTATAATGTACACAATGCAATTCACTATACCGTGTACACTGTACACTATGCAATTCACTATACATTGTACACTGTACAGTGTACACTATTCAATTCACTTTACAGTGTACACAGCTCATAGTAAATAATGCAGTTTGCTATGATATTTAATATATTGTAAAATGAGATTTTTTTACCGCCCGTTTCGCATTTTCATTCTTTTCTTGGTTATTTATTAAAAAGATCAATTGTAATTGATTATGTTCTTTCACTTTTTACTTAAAACTATAAATTAGACGTGCGAGAAAAATACAGTTTGACATAAATAAATGAATTAGTTGATTTTATTTACATTCTTTTAAAAGAATATTTTTAAATGTCTGAAAATATTAGAATTTTCGATTAAATCCTGTAAATTGTATAAATTTTAGTATTTTCAGATAGAATCAGAGAATCTTAGGTTTTTAAACCATTTTTCAGACAGACAAATTCTTTTTTGGATCAAGAAAAATAGTATTTGAAGATAATATAAATTACAATTATTATTAAAATTTGCAAGCTTTTTTTTGCGTCTTTGTGTAGCTCTTTTGCGTAGCTCTTTTGTGTAGCCCTTTTGTGTAGCCCTTTTGCGTAGCCCCTTTAATACTAAAAATAAACTTCCTACATTTGTGACTTTTCAAGAATAAGTGAATTATTTAACATCTACTTTAACATCTACTTTAACATCTACTTTAACATCTACTTTAACATCTACTTTAACATCTACTTTAACATCTACTCTAACATCTACTTGAACATCTACTTTAACATCTACTTTCAGTTTTGAAATATCTAGGAGCAATATAAGAATATGGTGGAATTTAGAGAATTAAGCTTACTGAGAATACCACAATAAAACCTGATGTTGCCGGATTCATGATGAGGAAATCAGTTTCTACTTGATCAATCCAGATATAACCTGATCATGGTTATATTTGAGGAAAAAGAAGAGAATTGAGTCCTATGGAAGTCAAGAGAAGCTACTGGAAACTTAAGTGTTAAACTCACATGGAACCAGAGAACTGGTTTCAGGTAAATATATTTTCTTTATTAATCTAAAATTTTCTTTAATATCTATCTATATATCTATATATCTATAGTAATAATCTCTGTTTGCATGTTTGTTCAATTGTTTGTCTGTATATCCGATCATAGATAGAATTACTTAACCGATTTGCCTCAAATTTGGATTGGGAAGTTTGTTATAAATTCGGAAATGTTCTATATAAGCTTGCTTAAAGAATTCTAAATTGAGTAAATTGACTTTTATAATGATATCATTTGAAAAAAAAATAATTCGAATCCCTTTGGCTGACTGTAGGGAACATATATACGAATGTCTTGTTTTATTATATAGATATATTTAAAATCCGGCGACATCAGGTTGCAAAGACATTTGAATAATGAAGGCCCTTTTTTACTACTTTTACCGATAAAAATGTTTCAAATTGTACAAGGTTATATATGTTAAGAAATCAGAAATGAAAATAAAAGTTAGCCATGTATTGGGAGCGTAAAGTGCTCTCTGGTATTTTTAAACCATTTGTTTTTATGGAAATGGAAATCCCAAAAAAGTATGTATCCCATTATCTGCTCTTTCTTCTTTGGTAAGAATTAAATGTATCTACAAACTATGTTTAGAGCAAAAACTTGGACAAAATAGTTTTCTATTACATAAAAAGACAAGGATGTCAAGTCGTATAAATAAATTTGTACAGTATAGGGGCGAGCAATATCTCAAACAGGCTTCACTCCCGGGTTCTAAATGACACACAGTCCAATGAAATTGCTACACAGGCAATATCTCAAACAGGCTTCACTCCCCGGGTATAAAGGACACTCAGTCCAATGGAATTGCTACACGGGCAATATCTCAACCAGGCTTCACTCCCCGGTTCTAAATGACACACAGTCCAATGAAATTGCTACACAGGAAATATCTCATCCAGGCTTCACTCCCGGGTTCTAAATGACACACAGTCCAATGGAATTGCTACACGGGCAATATCTCAACCAGGCTTCACTCCCCGGTTCTAAATGACACACAGGCCAAATCTCAAACAGGCTACACTCCCCAATTTTAAAGAACACACAGTCCAAAGAAATAACAGGCTACACTCCCCAATTTTAAAGAACACACAGTCCAAAGAAATTGCTACCAGGCAATTTCTCAACTCGTATAATTCAACGAGGACCAAAAGCTCTATTTTCAAGCTTACTATAGATTCAATGCTAAATCAATTAGCAAAGATCTCTGCTCGTCTTATTTCAACGAGAACACAGACTACTTCTAATACCGTAATCAAAGCAGTCTCAGTCAACTAACTTTATTCAATAGCTTAGGTTACAAAGTTAACAGGAATTGTCGTAATTCAATTCCTACGATGTTATTGATATCACATTATTAGGACCATCGTATTACGTATTAAAGAGAATAGATATAACGCAGTTAATCTTCTCTGCCCATATTTTGCTACATATATCTACATTGGTTTCATGTGCATAAATAAAACAATAATCTGATGCTGAATTTATGAAAATCTAGGCATTTTTGGTTAAAAAGCATCATGTTTTCCCGTAAATAATCAAAAATCGTTTAATTACGAAAATTATACAACCTTTGCGCCTCCCTCTCTGGAAAGTAAAAAAAGTTCCATGTCCCCTCCACCAGACTTATTCTTACATACTCCCCTGCCTCCCCCCCCCCCTCCATCATATTGATTTTTTTGATAAAATACCCCAATTACTTTCATATATGCTATGGAACACCCCCCCCCCCTCTCCTATTTCGATGATCATCAATACTGAATAAATGAATTCTTATCTCCCTGTCTTCATAAATACTGAATAGGAATCCAATTATTCATGAGAGTCATTCAATAATCTTGCAAATAATTAATCTAATGACGTCACTTTCTCTCCTTATACCTACATACATAGATTAATAACAATACTGATAGAACACTAGATGTCGTCTTTTCAAGATCTAGGGGTTTTTCGTTCGCGCTAACCCTGAGGCAGAATCCCAAAGGAGTTACACGCATTCTCTCTCTCTGTCTTGTAATACAACGCAGTATACATGTAACTCCTTTGGGGAAATTAGACGACATCTAGTGTTGTATCTTTATTGTTATTGATCTATGCCATACATAGTACACCGACATAGGGTCAAACCAACCTGGGTCAAACGACATCAATGGATAAAACAACCTAGGGTCAACCAACAAACTGGAAATATTATGTATTCTATGTAAGGAAAGGTTAAGACAATTCCTGGGCCGCGTGCTACGGCTAGGACAGCTGATATTGGATTGATCACTGAAGCTATAAATCTGGGCTGGGCGCCACGACTGGGACAGATTATGGGGCCGAACTTTTCTGCCATTTAATTTATAATAACTTTAAATAATAAGATTAGGCCGGGTTCAGACATTTTCGGGGCCAAGCGCTGCGGCCACAAAACTGGGTCAAGTCATTCGTCTAGTATTAGATATTCTTTTTTATCCGTTTTATAAACAATTAAAGACTTGTGTTTTTTCAAATAAAAACTATGCCAAACATTACAATGTCCCCCTACCCCCTCCACCCCTTCATCTTATACCGGTGTATATTTGATTGCTGGCTCCAGGACTAGGATTAAAAATGCATATACATTTTACATGAATTCAACGAAGCTGAGAAAGGTTTATGCACGTACATTGCACAAGATGAAAATATCGATTATCAGGGAAAATGACGTCAAATTACGGCATAAGGGATGCTCCAATACCATAGCTATAGTTATTAAATGCTAAAAGTGGAAACCTCGGTAACTTTTTTTTTTGGGGGGGGGGAGTTTCTAGAGTAATTTTTAAGTATCAGAATTGAATCATGTTCATGTTAAATTGCTTTAACTTGTCGAAGAAATACAAATACGTACCTCATACATGACATATTTTAATATCTCATATACGTACCTCATACATGACATATGTTAATATCTATAGTTTAATTAAGTTTCAGATAAAAGTAAATTGTTAGAAAAGCTTTGTAATTTGTTATGATTCAAAGAGGTAATTAGGGTAAATTACTATAAAAGTTAAAAATATCTTTTTTTAAATCCGGGAAAAGCTTGAATCCGAAAGACAAAGATTTTTTAAAACTACAAACTCAAAAATCTTAAAAGAGATGGAGAAGAAAAACACTGTTTAGATTAAAAAACACAACATTATTTTGATTGGAAGTCACGTCGGGAACAGATTCCAAGATTATACAGTGAGAACCATAAAACTGTGGAATAGGAAGACGACACATAAGCAATCTTTTATGTATTTGATGATGTTTTAACGTCGAAAGTTTTAATCAGCATGAAAATAAAGTGAAATGAATCAGTGTAAAAAAAACTTGTTCATTGGACTATTCAAAGCATAAGTTGAGTCTAACAGTCGTCTTCCTATTCGATAGTTTTATAGGCTCCCCTGTATATTTTGGTTTCTTCCCTAGATGGACTTCTATTATTCTAAGTTGAAGTCCATTATATGCTTGAGATTGGAGTAGCGTCAAGAACTACTCAGATCAATAATAAAATATATTTTCATTGACACTGTTCTAAAGGGAAAACATTGTTGGAACATTTAAAATTTTTTTATGAATATATATATATATATATATATAGATATTTTCACTTGAAAGGAATGGAGTCTTTGCCTCAAACTCTTATTTTCTTATGACATATCTATTTATTTACGTCCCAATGCTAAACTATGAGTTCTGTTAGATCAAATAGTCTAAGTTAGAAACATTAAAGGTTTACCCAATCAGGTTGCAAAGAAATAAGAATTCGAAAATTTGAGTTTGTGGCAAAGACTATCGAACTGTCTCCGATTTTTTTTTGCTAGAATCTTAGAATACATTGCACAAACAAATAATCTGTAGAACATTTAACTTTTATGCATAGAACCTACTGAACAATTTTCTTCTATATTTAGAATATTTGTTTAACAAGATGAATGACAATCTTGGAACATAATTATGATAAAAAACCTTCCTTCTTCTCCTCCCTGAAAGTTGAGAATAATAAGAAAATATATAATACTAGGCTTTTAGGGCGCTTCGCGCCCATCTTCTATTTCAACTTTTAATTGTGGCTTTATCTCTGAACATCTTCTCTTTGTACAGTATAAAAAAAAAACAAAAAAAGTTTGCGGATTTCATAATATCTTTTTGCGCATTTTCAAAATTTTCAAAAATAAAAAACTTTTAAACACAAATTTTTAAAATTTTGATCATTCATAAACCTTCCCTGGGGTCACAAAAAATTTGGGCCCGATCGGTTCAGCCGTTTTGACGTGTATTGGATACAAACAAACAGACAAACAGACAGACAAGCCAAATTTATAGATAGATTTATATTTATAAATATTCTAAATACTAGCTTGGAAACCCAGCTTTAACTGAAAACGATATTTTTCCTAAAAAGTTGAATCCACTGAACTAGGATTAGTAATTTCATTCTTCACACAGGAACAGTAGTTCTAATTATTAATACTTGAAAGTCTTGTTCTTTTCAATCTGAATTCTAAGTGTTCTTAACTCCAAACTCACTTAGTTCTTGTTTGATCCCTTTAATTTCAGTTTTCTCTGCAGGGTTCTGACTACGGGATATCCCTGCAGGGTTCTGACTATGGGATATCCCTGCAGGGTTCTGACTACGGGATATCCCTGCAGGGTTCTGACTAAGGGATATCCCTGCAGGGTTCTGACTACGGGGTATCCCTGCAGGGTTCTGACTAAGGGATATCCCTGCAGGGTTCTGACTAAGGGATATCCCTGCAGGGTTCTGACTACGGGATATCCCTGCAGGATTCTGACTTCGTGGTATCCCTGCGGGGTTCTGACTAAGGGATATCCCTGCAGGGTTCTGGCTAGGGGATATCCCTGCTGGGTTCTGACTACTGGATATTCCTGCAGGGTTCGGACTACGGGATATCCCTGCAGGATTCGGACTATGGGATATCCCTGCAGGGTTCTGACTGCGGGATATCCCTGCAGGATTCTGACTACGGGATATACCTGCAGGGTTCTGAATTCGTGGTATCCCTGCGGGGTTCTGACTACGGGATATCCCTGCAGGGTTATGAATACGGGATATCCCTGAAGGGTTCTGACTACGGGATGTACAAGATCAAGAAATTATTTTAATCCTCTGCGGACAACAGCTAACTGCTTGATCCATGGATTAACCATACAAAAGTTTTGACCTTCTGTCGTGTTTAGATCCCGGAGAAGGAGAGGAGACGGGTTAAAGACTATTCAACCCTACTCCTCCAGTAGATATAATAACCTGCGTTAGATCCCGGAGAAGGAGAGGAGACGGGTTTAGGACTGTCGTGCTCTACTCCTCCAGCAGATATAGTAACCTGTATTCTGTTTAGATCCCGGAGAAGGAGAGGAGACGGGTTGAAGACTATCCTACTCCTCCAGCAGATATAGTAACCTGTATTCTGTTTAGATCCCGGAGAAGGAGAGGAGACGGGTTGAAGACTATCCTCTACTCCTCCAGCAGATATAGTAACCTGTATTCTGTTTAGATCCCGGAGAAGGAGAGGAGACGGGTTGAAGACTATCCTACCCTACTCCTCCAACAGATATATACACACACCCTCATGTAACAATGCCAAGGAAACAAATCCAACCCTTAAATATTGCATATTTTTGGTTTATAGGGAATGTTTTTTCTATGAAAGGGGTTGAATATGAGTAGGGAGATGTCTTTTAAAATCAAAGTTTTGCTTTGAGGTTAATGTTTTTGTTGTTAAAGTTTGAGGGGGGGGGGTTGAGAGCATTTGAATAACAGCCAAATTCACGATTATTGACATTCAAAATACTTTTCAGTGGGACAATATACGCTATATTTTCAAACCAGTTTCTTCAATTAAAAGAGAGTTTTTGCGTTTGAATGTATATTCATATTCGAATGGATTGAATTTGAACCTATTTGGATCTAAACTTAAGTGCGGTTTAATTTCCTTTGATTAGTTGAGAAATTATCTATGAATAGTTTATAAACCTCAATTCCCTGTAGTTTTCATATTTATTGCCATAACTTTAGCTAGCCCCCTCTCTTAAAGGGACTGTAAGTAAAATATAACTTTAGCTAGCCCCCTCTCTTAAAGGGACTGTAAGCGAAATATAACTTTAGCTAGCCCCTCTCTTAAAGGGACTGTAAGCGAAATATAACTTTAGCCCCCTCTCTTAAAGGGACTGTAAGCGAAATATAACTTTAGCTAGCCCCTCTCTTAAAGGGACTGTAAGCGAAATATTACTTTAGCTAGCCCCTCTCTTACAGGAACGGTAAGCGAAATATAACTTTAGCTAGCCCCCTCTCTTAAAGGGACTGTAAGCGAAATATTACTTTAGCTAGACCCTCTCTTAAAGGGACGGTAGGCGAAATATAACTTTAGCTAGCCCCTCTCTTAAAGGGACTGTAAGCGAAATATAACTTTAGCTAGCCCCCTCTCTAAAGGGACTGTAAGCGAAATATAACTTTAGCTAGCCCCTGTCTTAAAGGTACTGTAAGCGAAATATAACTTTAGCTAGCCTCTCTCTTAAAGGGACTGTAAGCAAAATATAACTTTAGCTAGCCCCTCTCTTAAAGGGACTGTAAGCGAAATATAACTTTTGCTATCCCCTCTCTTGAAGGGAGTAAAAGCGAAATATAACTTTAGTTAGCCCCCTCTCTCAAAGGGACTGTAAGCGAAATATTACTTTAGCTAGCCCCTCTCTTAAAGGGACGGTAAGCGAAATATAACTTTAGCTAGCCCCCTCTCTTAAAGGGACTGTAAGCGAAATATTACTTTAGCTAGCCACTCTCTTAAAGGGACGGTAAGCGAAATATAACTTTAGCTAGCCCCTCTCTTAAAGGGACTGTAAGCGAAACATAACTTTAGCTAGCCCCCTCTCTAAAGGGACTGTAAGCGAAATATAACTTAAGCTAGCCCCTCTCTTAAAGGGACTGTAAGCGAAATATAACTTTAGCTAGCCACCTCTCATAACCCAAACTCCAACCCCAACAAGTATTTACATAAACCAAGCCCCCTCTTATATTCCCATAAAACTACAAGTTCCTTTCCCTGATTTAGAAAGATTCAGACAAGTTGTTAAGAAAACACAATTTACTCAATCTTACACTTCAACTTATTATTTTTATTAGTTTTGTCTTTTTATTATTCCTCTTATAAATTTAGATGTTCACGTTTGTCTTGCAAAATGTATATTATAGAGAGAGAATCATATTGTTTAAATTTTTTACACAAGGTTACCCACACAGGATGATCCTATCAGACGATTCTGAGGTTGAATTAAATCTTCTGCCTTGAATTTAATTTTTTTATGGCTCATTCAATGATTAGTCTTTGCCACAAACTCAAATTTTTCATCTCCATATCTTTACAACCTTATATATGATGGTGTAAACCTTTACTATTTCAAACTGAGACTCTTTTATCAAACAGAATTCAAACTTTGAAATGTCAAAGGTCTACAGATTTGGGTTGCAAAGATATAAGGATTAGAAAATCTATTTTGTGGCAAAAATTCAGTTCCTTTACGGTTGCAGGGAATTATAAATATAGAGAAACAGAAACTGTAAATTCTCAACAATCGTCTCTGAAGTCTCATCTTTTGTGGGTAACCCTGGATCTAAAATATCTGATTACTCGCCACAAGCTCTAACTTTTTAATCCTGAAATGTCAAAGTAACATTTGATACGTTTTTGGAAAGCCCTTGGGCTCTGCTTCTATAATCTGCAAAAATGGCATTTGCAAAAATCCAAATATTTATTGCGAAATCTAGTTATTAAGTAAAAAAATTCGCAAAAAAATTTGCGCAAATTGCAACAAATTATACATTTTTGAAAAGCCCTTAACCCAGCGAATTAAAATGTGCAAAAACATTTGCAACATTTTTAAGACTTAAATGTGTATTCTAAGAAAAACTGAAAATGTGCAAATTCCCTTTAAAAACGGTTGTGCAATAATATGTCCAAAATTTCTTTGCAAAAATTGTGCAATCTGCTTACTTTAGTTATAGGCTTTTTTGAGAGCTATAAAATATTGAAATCCAATGACTTTAAATAGGTCTAAATATAGATTAAGTCTGTTATAGGAAAATAAGGCATTTAGGCAGTTTGCCTGAGGACTGAGGCAGTAGGTATAAAAGCCCAGCTTAAGTGATGGGTATGTGTTAGCTAGAAAAGTCAGACAGTTTGACCTTCCAAGCTCAAAAACTTTTTGAGTTATCGCAAAAAATAAAGGGTTAATAGGGTTAAAAGATTTAAGTAATTCATGTTTAATAATTTCCTGCTCATATTAATATTATTCAACGTTTTTTAATTCGGGGCAGAATATATATAAGAGGGAGCTACATATACAGGCTGTTTTTATAAAAGTGTCTTTTTAAATTTCGTTAAGAAAGTTATGCGAAACTTTTTCAAAATAATGGATAATCAAAAAATAAGCAGTTTCCTCTCCAGACCAAGTCTTTTTTTAAACAGATGAAGCGAAGGAAATATCAAATCTTTTTATATGTAAAAGTATTTGTTAGATCTATGCAAATATACATTAATAAAAAGATCTAAGTTGTCCCCGTGACCGGTAACAATGGCTTTCTTATTGGTGATTCTCAAAACTACCTCTATTCTGGTCAACACACAATTTTGGAAAAAAATACACTTTTCTAAAACCCCCTGTATAATAAATTCTAAGCGGAAGTTATATATCGATGTATTCAAGTTTGAAAAGGTTTTCAACTCCAGTGCACACAATAATTTGGAAAATCCTGAATAAGGTATTTCAAGATAGAAATAGGTTTACAAAAAAGTTTCAAGATTTTCCTGGCTAACTTTCAACAATAGCATGACAAGTTTGATTGTTAAATCAACTCTTTAAATCTTGATGAATAATGTGTAAGATATCATCATTTTCTAGTTTGGAAATTGAAGAATTTAATTTTCAGACCTACAGTAAGAATAAATATCCAAAGTTCACTTAATTATGTCTTTCATTGTTTCGTAATAAATGAGAATTAAAAACTTTAGTAATTGAACACTGTGTTTATAATTATAAAGAAAAAAAAACTAATTACTCGCTTTACAGTAATCCTTATATCTTTGCAACAATAAATTGTTGCGAGTAATCAATTCTTTTCCTCTTTTTTGAAGGCAATTTAAGTTGGTAGATTTTTTGTGTGCTGTTTTTTTGTGCTTTCATCTTCAGCCGACAATTTTTTAAATTTTTTTTCTTTTTTTTAACGGTTTGATTTAAATAGAGTGGAGGAGAGGAATGTGAAGAATCATAGACATGGTCAACATGAACCACACCGTCATCATCATAATCATAATCATCATAGGATAGGATAAATATATCATTAGCATCAGACAGATATTTAGATAACTATGAAAGTTACGCATAAGATTTTAGACCGCGTTGTTTTTGAAGTGTCACACATGCTTTTTTGGGTTTACCATACCAGCTCACTTGTATTTCTTTTATAGCGATAGACTTCTACCTATTTAAAACGGCGATGTGGTTGTTTTTAGTTTGAGTTTGATGGAAAGAAGTAATTGGAAAAATCCTGATTGGTTTTCAAGCGGAGTTTGTAAGAATTTTCATCCTGACATGATGAAACTGCTAGTACTTAAACTTAGTTAAATTTAAACGAAAAGAATATTTTGATATTTTATATTTATTACTGAAAATTTTATAGATAAATAATGCTGGAACCAAATCAAGTTTCGAGGAATTATTTCAACCAAATTAGTTTTTATCAATCCATTAAAATTTCCGAAATTCTCAGAAACCCTAATTCAAAGGATGCTTATGAATACTTGCCAAAGTGTTATATTTCAGTTAAAAAATATAAATTATTTAAAAAGCATCAATGCATACTGCCTAGTCAGGTTTTAATTATTTCTGATCTATTTGGAATTAATACTGCGGTTGTCCTCATTAGCGATTATCACTTGTATTAAACTCTTATTTGCAAACCTTTGATATTGTAAAGGAATTGAGTCTTTGCCACAAACTCTAATTTTCTAATCCCTATACCTTTGCAACCTAATGTCGTAGACCTTAGATGTTTCAAACAATGAGTTCTGTTAGAATAAATAATTTAAGTTTGATATATCTAAGGTTTGTTGGAAAGATATAAGAATTAGAAAATTCAAGTTTATGGCAAAGACTGAATTTCTTTGGACAATTAAATCTAGCAGAATTTATTGTTTAAAAATATCAAAAGTTTACGACATTAGGGTTCAAAGATAAAAGCATTAGAAAATTAGAAAATTAGAATTTGAATTATCCAAAGTTTACACTATCTGGTTGCAAAGATATGGGGATTAGAAAATCAAACTTTGAGGCAAGTAATTCTTTTATAGTTGGGGCAAATGCATCGTAAAATTTAGTTCTAAGCTAGAATATATATATATGTCCTCTCAGGAGTAAAATTTAGTTCTAAGCTAGAATATATATATGTCCTCTCAGGAGTAAAAGTCGGAAAAGAGAAGAACAAGGGGAAACAAGAGATGAAATAGATGGGAGACGTGAGGAGCGAGATGGGAGAAGGGAAGATAGAGATGGGAGAAGGGAGGAGCGAGATGGGAGACGGGAGGACAGAGATGGGAGAAGGGAGGAGAGTCCTGTAAAAGGATTAAGAATGTCTCCACTAAGTCCTAGTCAGGACGGACATGTGACTAGATCTCACATGATGAACCCTGAACCTGGACACGGGTCCAGGATGCATTTCACCCACCCGGAGTATCCACGAGGATCCAGGGTTCAAGGATCTAACTCGGAGCATATACATGGTTCCAATATACAGGATTATAACAATGAAGACAGTTCTTCAAGATTGCAAGAAAGAAACCATCATTCCGTTTATAAACAAGGGAATTTCATTTACCTCCATAAATAATCTCTTATGAAAGTATCCTAACATGCTAGAACTTTGTTTGAACCAGCAAATCATCGTCCAATTTAAAGTTACAAAGGAATTAAGACTTTGTCACAAACTCTGATTTTCTCATTTTTATATCTTTTTAATCTAATGCTGTAGATCTTGAATATTTCAAGTTATGAAATCTGTTATATCAAATAAACAAAGTTTGAAATATCAAAGGTTTATGCCATCCGTCAGCAAAGATAAAGGGATTAAAAATTTGAGTGCGTGGCAAAGAATCAATTCCGATATCTTACTTTGTGTTTATCACGAATTCCATTTATGTACTCTACTTTTCTCTTGTTCATACCTTGAGCATACACACATACATTCTACAACTGGAAACTATAGAGTAGCATTCATTTAGACACTTTACTCCTGGAGTAGGATCCATCTAGACAGTTTACTCCTGGGGTAGGATCCATCTATACAGTTTACACCTGGAGTAGGATACATCTATACAGTTTACTCCTGGGATAGGATATATCTATACAGTTTACTCCTGAATAGTATCCATCTATACAGTTTACACCTGGAGTAGGATTCATCTATATAGTTTACTCCTGGAGTAGGATCCATCTATACAGTTTACTCCTGGGGTAGGGTCCATCTATACAGTTTACTCCTGGAGTAGGATACATCTATACAGTTTACTCCTGGGGTAGGATCCATCTATACAATTTACTCATGGAGTAGGATACATCAATACAGTTTACTCCTGGGGTAGGATCCATCTATGCAGTTTACTCCTGGAGTAGGATTTATATAGTTTACTCCTGGTACCCATAGTAATATCCATCTATTCAGTTTACTCCATCTATATATACGGTTACCTGGAGTAAAATATCTGCGGTTTACTCCTGGAGTAGGATTTATCAATACAGTTTACTCCTGGGGTAGGATACATCAATACAGTTTATCCTGGAGTAGGATTCATACAGTTTACTCCTGGGGCAGGATACATCAATACAGTTTACTCCTGGAGTAGGATATATCAATACAGTTCACTCCTGGGGTAGGATCCATCTATACAGTTTACTCCTGGAGTAGGATCCATCTGTACAAGTTACTCCTGAAGTTGGATCCATCATACAGTTTACTCCTGGAGTAGGATCCATCTGTACAAGTTACTCCTGGTACCTAGAGTAGGATCCATTAATACAGTTCACTCCTGGAGTAAGATCCATCTATATAGTTTACTCCATCTATATATACAGTCACCTGGAGTAAAATATCTTTGGAATCCTTGCTAGTATAATGTCCAAACCAAGAACTGGTCAGGAGGTTTCTCAAGGTTTAGATGAAACAATCTGTTTTCTATAATTTCACTGAAACCAGAAAACAGATTTATCGAAAGTTTAAAAATACTTCTTCAGTTCTAGGATTTAAAATGATAAAGATTTGTTTAAATCTACTCTAAGTTTCTTTCAACAATTTAGAAGTGCATCTTGCATTCTACATTCAGAAGGCCATCTCAACCTAAGTTGAAAAACAATCAAAGAGACCTTACGATATTAGGCCCTTTCCAAAGGACATTTTTCAAGTAAATTTCCCTAGTGCATTATTATAAGTGACTTTCCCCAAGGGAATCATTTTTATTGACTTTTTCCATGTGCGTTATTTTAAGTGACTTTTCCCAAGAGCATTAATTTAAGTGCATTTACAAAGGGCATTGTTTCAAGTGACTTTTCCCAATGGCATTTTTTTGGTTACTTTTCCCTAGTGCATTTTTTAAGGGACTTTTCCCAAGGGCATTTTTTCAAGTGTCTTTTCCAAAGGCATAATTAAAAAGATAAGTTAACAAAAGTCCTTTCCTGTAATAAAAAATATTTAGTATATATAATATATAAAATAAATAATATGTGTCATATAAAATGTGGAAATTTCTACTCAATTGACATTTGGGAAAATGCATTTTAGAAAAAAATTGTGGAAAATGGCTAAACCTTGTTCACTAGTTTTGTTTCAATAATCTATTTATATCTTTTCATGTATTTATCTTTTCCATCTTTTATCTATCTATATCTATCTGTAAACTGTAGTGCATATATCTGTAAATCTATAAAGAAAGATTTATTAATGTTTACCCAGTGGTAAAATGAAAATATATCCTAGAGCATGGAACCAGTCCTGTTAAGAGCTACATAAAACCCGACTTGTCCCCTGATACTCGAACCATTGGTAAACCTGACCTTTCCCCCGGGACCCGGAGCTATATCAAACATGACCTTTCACCCGGCAATAGAAGTATTGCCAAATCTGACCAATCTGGACCGAAAACAAATTTGAAACCCGACCTAACTCCTGAACTACGGAACTCTGTAAAACCCGACCCAGATTCTCATCAGAAACCCCTGCATTATCAACAGTATTATAAGGAAGGAGTAATAATTATCAAATTTTTATAATTTAAATATCCCCCCTCTAGAAGTAGCCCATGGCAACTGGGGAAATTATGTATTTTTATACAAAAATAGATTATAATTTCAAAACCCAGAATTGGGTATAAATTGAGATTATTGCCATTGGAAACCAATAGTAAACCAAAGCTGTCTGACTTAAGACCAAAAAATGTCATTAAAAATTATATTTTTAGGGGGCAATAATTTTATTTTTTGTCCGAAAATAATATTATTCTCCCTGTGCAGGATGTTCAGCAGGAATTAAAAAGTAGGTTTCCTCGGGATAAATCCCGAAGTGAAACCTCCCGGAATGGGGTTGAGGGATTAAGCCAGAAGGTGTTGGAGCAAAACTCATATCAAGGTGAGAACATGGAATATCTAGGTCGGGAGAGACAAGTGATATCTCAGGATAGGTCCCCGCGACGGGATCTTGAACTAGACCCTGAGCCAGTGATAGAAAGAGTATCTGAGATTAAAACTAGTGAAAGTGGAGTTCAGACCAGGTCAAGGACCAAAAGTGAATCGCGTCCAATGTACGATGAAAGAACTACAAATACAGATTCAGTGGAAGTTTTGAACCTTTTAAGGAATCCTAGGCGTCGTCCTATTGAGGTGGATGCCCGAGAGTTCAGGTTTTTAACTGAAAAATTACTCCAGGAGCAAAAAGGAACTCCAGTTGTAGCAAAAATGGAAAGGAAGGAAAAGATTGAAACAACCCTTCACACTCATATCAATGGAGATTCAACTAGGAAGGATATTGGAAGAGTAAAGAAAGATATTAGCTCCGATATGCTTGATGAACTGGTGAAACCAGGATGGAATCCAGAGGAACCGGTCAAATCCTTAAGAAAAATGGAATCGGAGAAGCCCAACCGAAAATTAGAAGATCCCGTTAAACCGCGGGGACGGGATGAGTCTGCCAAACCAAGTAGGAAATCAAGAAGAGAATATTATGAACTGGAAAGTAAAAGTAAGAAAAGAGGAAGAACGAGGACACGAAGTCCAGATAAGTCTCGAGATTGTAGTCGCCAGGATTGTATCTCCGGGGACGAGAATGAACCTGAATCTCCCCAGTACTCTAGACACGAGAAGGAATGGTTGAAGGAGAAACTCCTGGAGGAGTTTGAGAAACAAGACAAGAAGTCTGGTCACAAATCCAGGTCTAGCAAATCATCAGATATTTTAAAGCACATCAAATCCTCTCACCAAAAGGAGAAAGATTCCAGAAAGAGAAAATCTGAAAGAAAGGATGAGTTTAATGATTTCTCCGTGCACCACAGTCCAACACTAGAGATTCGAAGTATTGATCTTGTACCAGGACAGGACAATCCAACCTTGGAGCTGAGTAGAAAACCGTCCAGATCTGGGATTTTAGATAATAAAACTGATACCGTGGACAGCGGATTGGATCCGTTTTATCAACGAGCAATCCCTCCTCAACCCACCTCAATCCCTCTCAAACTTCCAAAAGTCGGATCAGATCGGAAAAGGGATTGGACGGACATATCACCCTCCTCTCTAGAACCCCCGACTCATCATTACTGCCGAGATTCCTACTCCAACCCTATACACGGGGTTTACAACGAGAAGGGAAGATCTACCTCGCATTCTGTTTTCTCCGGCGTAGGATTAAGGGATCAGGATTCTCCTCTTGCTCAGACACTTTCTCCTCCTCATCATTCAACCATGCCAAGAAATAAATCTCCGAACCCAAGGCACGAGAAGCACGCTACTATGCCCAGGAACAGTTCTCCGTCCGGCATGGCTCGATTCTCCAGTTGTGCAGCTAGTATGCCATCATCTCCTCCTCCCTATGTAGATCCTAAAGCATCAGATAAGGATTGTGGTTGTTCTTGTGACTGTAGGAGCTCAGGGTATCCAAGCCAAGAGGTAAGACAATATGAACCTTGTTGGAAAATGTCGAATTAAAAAATGGAAAGATTATTAATGATACAGCTGAACTAAAAAGGAAATTTTTTCCTAAATATTAAAGAAAATCTTTAATATATCCCATTATATTTTCTTATAAAATCATAGAGAAAAAGAATTTAAACTTTTTATCCTGCAAATACTAACAAAATTAACTTTCCTATCAAAACGGATTAAAATGATAAAAGTTGAAGTAACTTAATTATGAGAAGAAGTAAGAAGCACAGAACTATATAGTTATGTCAATTTAATATGTAGATAGTACATTATTATGTCAATAGATAGGTAGATAGTACATTATTATGTCAATAGATAGGTAGATAGTACATTATTATGTCAATAGATAGGTAGATAGTACNAGATGGTACATTATTATGTCAGTATTGAGCAAGATGGTACATTATTATGTCAGTATTGAGCAAGATGGTACATTATTATGTCAGTATTGAGCAAGATGGTACATTATTATGTCAGTATTGAGCAAGATGGTACATTATTATGTCAGTATTGAGCAAGATGGTACATTATTATGTCAGTATTGAGCAAGATGGTACATTATTATGTCAGTATTGAGCAAGATGGTACATTGCTAAAGTCAGTAATTAGAAAGATATTGTTATTGCTAGTTATTATCATTAGTAAGATAACAAATCATTCTGTAAGTAGATATAATAACATAATGCATTACATTTCCATTAAACCTGCGAAAAAAATACAATTTTTGTGCATTGAAGTAACTAAAAATAAGTGAATCCCGACATGACGTTTGAAAATAGAAAATTGTCTCTAAGAATGAAAAATATATACAAGAATGATGTATTTGTATATTTGGATAAAATGGAATATATGTGTTTATATCTAGATACAACTTTACCAAAACAATCCCATCCCTTCTCCTCCAGTCAAATCTAATTTTAACATTTCTATTCTTTATCCTAGGATACAGTTTCTATCCCTAGATACATATCCTACTCCTAAATACCAATTCCTATTCCTAAACAGCGATTCATAGATACATTTTCTATTCCTAGAAACAATTCCTATTCCAAGAACCACTTCCTTTTCCTAGAAACACTTCCTATTCCTAGATACATTCCCAGATACAGTTCCTATTCCTAGAAACAGTTAAAATTTCTAGTTAAATTCCCAGATACAGTTTCTATTCAAAGATTCAGTTACTATTTCTAGATACAATTCCTATTCCGAGAACCACTTCCTTTTCCTAGAAACACTTCCTATTCCTAGATACATTCCCAGATACAGTTCCTATTCCTAGAAACAGTTAAAATTTCTAGTTAAATTCCCAGATACAGTTCCTATTCCTAGATACGGTACATATTCAAGATACAGTTTCCAATACTAGATACAGTTCCTATTCCTAGATTCAGTTCCTATTCCTAGATACAGTTCCTATTCCTAGAACCAGTTCTTATTCCTAGATACAGTTCCTATTCCTAAATACACTTCCTATTCCTAGATGCAGTTCCTATTCCTAGAACAAGTTCCTGTTCCTAGATACAGCTCCTATTCCAAGAACCAGTTCCTATTCCTAGATGCAGTTCCTATTCCTTAATACAGTTCTTATTCCAAGAAATATTTATATTCAAGGCTGGGTTTGTGGAGTGGGTAGGTTTTAGTAGAGTTATATATAGTAATATCCGAAGAAAATAAATCAATACAAATCTGTTCTGTTGTGACAAAAACCTTCCGCTAGACAATACAGTAAACCCATGTTTGTAACAACAGTATTCTTGGTATAATAAAGGAGTGGTTACTACGGTATCCTTGGTTTAATAAAGGATTGGTTACAATGGTAACCTTGGTCTAATAAAGGATTGGCTACTACGGTATCCTTGGTCTAATAAAGGATTGGTTACTGCGGTATCCTTGCTTTAATAAAGGATTGGTTACTACGGGATCCTTGTTATAATAAAGGATTACAGTTATATAGGTTATATAAAGGATTGGTTACTACGGTATCCTTGGTTTAAGAAAGGATTGGTTACTACGGTATCCTTGGTTTAAGAAAGGATTAGTTACTACGGTATCCTTGGTCTAATAAAGCAGTGGTAACTACGGTATCCTTGGTATAATAAAGGATTGGTTACTATGATATCCTTGGTATAATAAAGGATTGGTTACTATGATATCCTTGGTATAATAAAGGATTGATTACTACGGTATCCTTGGTATAATAAAGGATTGGTTACTACGGTATCCTTGGTATAATAAAGGATTGGTTAATAGAGTATCCTGGGTATAATAAAGGATTGGTTACTACGGTATTCTTGGTGTAATAAAGGATTGGTTACTATGGTATCCTTGGTATAATAAAGGATTGGTTACTACGGTATCCTTGGTCTAATAAAGGATTGGTTATTACGGTATCCTTGGTATAATAAAGGATTGGTTAATAGAGTATCTTGGGTATAATAAAGGATTGGTTACTACGGTATCCTTGGTCTAATAAAGGATTGGTTAATAGAGTATCCTGGGTATAATAAAGGATTGCTTACTACGGTATCCTTGGTATCCAGTATAATGATTAGCTTCAAACAACTTATCCTAGAAGATTGGGATCAAGTTTGATTGGGTTGATTATCAGTTCAAAGTTTATCTGAGTATAACAGGTTGAGAGGAGGACAGGGTAAGGTGGAAAGGAGGGGATGGAGGTAGAAGGAGGGGGATGGAGGGGATGGAGGTAGAAGGAGGGGGATGGAGGAGGAAGGAGGGGGAAGGAGGGGGAAGGAGGCGAAGGAAAAGGAAGTGAGAATGAAGAAAAAGAAACAAAGAAGCACAATTTTTTTAAAAGCGTGTTTGATTTTGTTTCTCCATTTTTAACTTTTTCTGGGAGAATTGCATGCACCAGCAGGACTTGTTTATCATTTTTGTGTCATGTTGAGAAATATCTTTAAACAATTTTAAATATCCAGAAAAATCTCCAACTTGATTAAACCATGTTTAATTACAAAAGTCAAAATAAACCTGATTGTTGCTCGAAAGCCTAAAAAAAATGAATTCGTATTTCAAAAAGTTTTGGAATTTTTTGTAAGCTTTACTGAATTGATCGAAAAGGAATTTTATTTAGATCCAAATATATTGTAAATCTTCGATATTTATTTTAAAAGTTTTATTTTTAGAATTTTAACTTTTCAAAAATCCTTCAGAGCAAACTTATCTATCCAAATATTTACACTTTCTTTCCAACTTTTCATAGTTTATATTCACATATTCTATCCATATATTCACATATTCTATCCATATATTCATATATTCTATCCATATATTAACATATTCTGTCCATATATTCACGTATTCTTTCCATATATATTCACATATTCTATCCATATATTCATATATTCTATCTATATATTCATATGTTCTATCCGTATTTATTCACATATTCTATCCATACATTCAGATTTTCTATCCATATATTCACATATTCTATACATATATTCACATTTTCTTGATCATATTCCATTTCACATATTCCACACATTTAACTGCCAGTATCTTCAAATATTCCACATATCAACATATTCCATCCATTTTATCCATTTTATCTATGGATGCCCTTTTTTAGTCATTTTGTCCATATATTCTTATATTCTATCCATATTGACAAATTATGTTGTGGATACTTAAGTTATTAAAGTTTATGAAAAAGAGTGAAAGCTTATTATTTCAGGCCATAGTTTCTTTAAGTTGTTTTTGTTTACATTTTCCTAGTGTGACACCAAACCATAGCAACACCCCACAATTTAGCTAATTGATTCTTTTATTATTATCTTCTATAATAAAACAAGACATTCATATATATATATTTTGCGTATAGCCGGCCAAACGGCTGGACCGATTGGACTAAAAAAAATTCAAAATTTTTTTTTTCAAAAATAGTCTCTTTTTTCACAGGCAACGCCGGCCTTTCAGCTTATTATTATTATTATTATTAAATGTGTTTTGTAAAAATCCTCTCGTTAAAAGGATAAATGTCTAGCACATCCGTGACATACACACACACTTCTAATTATATTAACGCAAACGGGTGTTCTATACTTCTAAGAAAAGGTTTGCACCTTCAATTTGTCTAGATTTAAAGAACTTTAAGGATTTAGAGCGAAAAATGTTAGGCAAAATTAGATTATTTTGGGGGTGGGGGGATTTTATTGTTTTTTACTTTTTTGAGTATTTTCATGCGGTTATAGAATAACATGATATTTCGTTAACAGTCTCTTTATATATTTTGATTTTATATTTGTTATTGGTTGCTATGTGAGTAGGATAACATTGTATTGGCATTAAAGTGCTTTTATATGTTTGTATGTAACTGTGAATAAACTAAATACAGTAGCAAAATCCTATCAACTGCAGATAATGCTTTATTACATTACATTTTTACTTTAATATCTACTATCTATTATCTACTATCTACTATCTACTATTTATTATCTACTATCTACAATCTACTATCCACTATCTACTATCTACTATCTGCTATCTACTATCTACTATCTACTATCTACTTTCTACGATATACTATTCACTATATCTACTATCACCTTCCTATATACTACATGTCTACTATCTACTATTGTTATTTCCCAAAAGAAAAAATCTGTTATTTCATATCCAATGTTTAAAGGTTGTAATCTTTATCACGACTAATAATTTCTCTAAAGTCTAAAAAGTGTAAAAATGGCAACACAACCTGCAATGACAAAATACATGTCAATAGTTTTGTGATATGTTATGTTTCTCCTCGGGAAGGATATTGTAATATATTTTATCAGTTGCTCTCCAAAACTTTACAATACATTTTATAATAATATAATGTATAATATATAATTCTACTCTATTAAAGGGAGATAGATATCTTTCCCTTACTTAAAACCTTTTCAAGCATTTTCAAGCATTGTGTTTTGTGATTTATATCTGCAGATACCAGACCGATAGTCTTT